CTCTTCTTTAGATTGTAAATCCACAATTTCAGAACTGATACAACTTTGTTTCATTTTGTAACTATTCAACTTTCACATTGAGTGAGCTTAGTCTATCGACCAAATTAATTTGTAAAACAAGGTGTTGTGTTGAACCAATGAAGATGATGAGGATTTGTATGAATTCAAATGATTTTGAGAGACAAGAGAAACTAAATCTTAAAAAAAATGAAATGTAATTGAAAAGAATCAGAAATGATCATTCTCTGATTTCTAGATTTAGGTGAACTTTAAAAGATACACAAACTTCTTCTAATTCACTAATTCTTCATCTATTATACTTTATCAGATGTAAATATCTATTGTAGTTCAAAAATAGTTCTGATCAATATAACTTACATTTTGCTTGATGTTGTGGTCATAATATAAATTTTCCCAGAGATTTACTAGACAGGCAGACGGCAGAGACAACTGAGTACTGATTATAATTTCTCCTTCATCTCCATCACTCTCACATTGCATAATAGGCCCATAATCATCTAAGTTGTATACAAACCAGTTCACTTCAACACTACCAAAATCAACAAAGGAATTATTCTAAAATGAAACATTGAACATATTTTGATTATTCATATTCCTGTACTCTTACATATGTGGGAATATCACCAACAATTATTGTTTTAACATCTTTGTGTAGAACAGAATTTTCAAAATTGTTAATAACACTATTGGGGCGAACTATGATCTTTTGCAAATATCTATGAACAACGGCGATGATGGCTTTTTTTGAAATATTGTTGCTAAAAAGATTAGAATTTTAAGGAAATAATTTCTTACTACACCAATACTTACCTATATTCTCTCAATATAATTTCAACGTCCACAAAAACAGACATTTTCTTCAATCAAGTTTGAAGACTATAGATCTATAATGAGAATGAAATTCACTTGTATTTATATATTATTTCAATTATGGTTTGAAGTTGAACTAGAGTATTTTTCAAACCTAACGTTTGGTACATATTATCTATTTTCTTAATTTAAAATTGACAAATGACATACAGTGATGTTTATGGGTTGAAATTTATTGTACTAAAAATAAATTTTTTTTCGTATCAGATCCATAAGGTGATAGATTAAATTTTTTTTAGGTTGAAGCTTTTACGACGAATAAAAACTGATCTTGAGAGGCGAGTAATTCAAATTATCTATTTTGAATGAAAAGTTCAAATTTTCAAAATTTATTTGGAACATTTGTTAAAAATAAAACTTGGAAAACAAAAATATATTATTCAACAGAAAAATAATTACTTGAACAAGAGTTAAGTTCATTGAATATGAGGAATAAAATTTTCATTCAGAACCTCACTATTTTTTATTTTAGAGTGATTGCACTTCAGCAAATTATTATGTTCAAAATTGTAACATGAATTCGAACAATTCTGTTTCAGTAATTCTTCAGTTTATTATGAAGATGATAGTGTTTTTATTGCAAGTTTATTTCTCGTATCGACTTTTATCAAATTTGAATGGGAGAAAATTCTTTCAGCAGCTGCTGAGGAGTGCGGCAAAGCTAATACCCGTTTTACCTCTTGAGCAAGATCACTGAACATTGATTCATCGAAGGAAGTTTTTTTGCCATTAATGTACTCCATCCACATCTAATTTGAGTAATATCCCTTTCTGACCTCACTAGCTGAACGCCATTCTGTGTTCAATTCTCCCAAATCAACATTTAAGCCATTAAAAAGAAATTTTTTGCCTTTGCTATGGATATTGTGTTGCCTAAGGTGACTTAAGGTGTTTTCTGGCGCTCATGTATTCAAAACGTATTCGTCTGTGATTCGTCAGTTATTCAACTATGATTTGAAACGTAGCGTGAGGTTGGTTTTGAAACGGAATTTGACATTACGATACGTCAGTTGTCAGTTTCTGCTTTATTTGGATCATAGTTTATAAAGTGCTGAAAATTTTCATCAGATATCAGATACTGATGACTCGTCGAATCTGTCGACATTCAGCCTGGTTACTGCCGTAGGGGACCGCCTGTCTTTTCAATACGTCTTTTACTCCGATATTCATTCGACTTAACTTTATTTTCGAATACTGACAACTCTCTTTTATACAACAAAATCCACGTGCCATATTTGAGTGCGATAGTTACGACATAACCGTCCTCTATCGCGATCGGAGAGGAAGTCCACTTATGAATTTAAAACAGATGTTGAGTATTTTAGTTTTCGTAACTGTTTTTGACTTTCAGTGTAGCCAACAAATATTTCAATTTCCCAAATGTACCAACGACGTCATATTGTAGATGAAGCTCGTCTTTCTTATTTCACGGGAATATATTGTTCTATATTAACAAAATACATCTGACTCAGAAAAAGTTGTCATATCTGCATTTTTCTATGACTATTAGTAGAACAACCATTACTGTGGTTTGTGTATTTGGTACCCAACCGGTGTTGGTGTGATAATCAGAATTATTTTCACAAAAGAAATGCCAAGAATAATTTCAAAGAAGTTCTTAAATTCATTGATGAGTCCACCGATTGATTCTATCAAGGTCATTCATTAAAACTGAATAAAAAAATGAATCGAATATTAAATTTGTTCATTATCTACATTTAGATATTCATATTTCTACTAGTAGCTTAGAAAATTTGAATAAAAATTGTGAAAGTGATTCAATATTATCCACAGTCAGAAATTAATGTAATTTGGGTTGGCCACAAAACCTCAAACAATTAGAATTTAATCAAGAACTTTCAGCCTTTTTCAAAATTAGAAATGACCTAGTTGTGAAAAATGTTTTGGTCTTTTACAGTGACAAAATCATAGTTCCTAAAACTGTTAGCAATGTAATGCTTGCGAAATTACATAACATAGCACATCTTGGGACAGAAGAATGCAAGGCACGTGCCCAAAAAATATATCATTGGCCTGGTCAATTTCATTGCAAAATGTAAGGTTTGTCAAAAATTTTGTAGGAAATGAACAGACGAGAAGTTATTTCAACATGATGGAATTTCCTATTACTAGGTAGCTGCTGGTATTTCAACTCACGGTGGTTGTGACTATCTGGTGGTAGTTTATTATTTCAGCCTTTGGATTGACTTTTTTGAAATTGATTTTGAAACCGCTGAATAAATTGTCAACAAACACGAAACTATATTTTCAGAACGCGGAATCCCTACAATATTTGTTTCAGAATTTGCCCTTCAAAAGTGTAGAGTTTAAAAAGTTAGCACGAAATTGGAATTTTGACATAGTTATNGATAGTTTTGCCAAATGTTCAGATTGTGAAAAAGATATTAACATTATCATTGGAAAGGATGCTCTTACTAAACACAGCATTAGTGAAGTTCACGAAACCAAAGTGAAAAGCATCCAAAAACAAAAATCATTAACGTCATTTGTTACTGCAGGATCAAGTAATCAAAAATTGGAAGACTACCTAAACACACAAATTGATCTTTTATGACAATCAAAAAAATTGTTAATGTTTTTTTTTATTTTTAGGAGAGATCAGATTAAGTGCGTTTATAGCTGAACATAATCTGCCATTCGCGGCTATAGATCATTTGGTAAAAGTTGTGGCTGCAGCTTGTCCAGATTCAAAAATCGCTCAAGGTATGGCGTGTAGTCGAAGTAAATGCACTGCCAGTAGTGAAACACGTTTTAGGGTAGCACGGACTAAATGAATTATGTCTCCATCTACAAAATAATAAATTTTCATTAATCGTTGATGAGTCGACAGATCAAAGTAACATTAAACATCTATGTCTTGTGGCACGAAGTTTTTGGAATAACACTATTTAGGATGATTTTTTAGGACTAATTAAACTCACAGGAGCAGATGCTAATACTTTATATAAGCATATAATTGACTTTTTTAATGCCCATAAAATACCATTTAAGAATAACTTAATAGGTTTTGCATCAGATGGTGCAAATTTCATGATGGGAGAACATCATTCTTTAATGACTTTATTAAAAAATGATGTTCCTTCATTGTTTGTACTTCATTTCATTTGTGTGCATCATATGCTTGCAAAAAGCTGCCACGATTTGTTGAAGATATGATTCGAGATGTTTT